ATATGTGGTAGAGAATCCACAGCTTCTCTAAATTGGTATCATATTGCCAAGTCGCCATGGAAACCAAAATTCCAATAGTGTCCTTCTTCTACACCAGCAGATTCCATAAAAGGATAGAGCTGATTATCCTGTTTGACAGATTCTATTTTACACGTGTGTATCTTGGTAAAAATTAGCTTTCAATAAAGTCCTAAGGAATTAGCCCAAAACATATAGAATGACCAGTCTGTCTTTTGGTGTAAACTCATAAAATTCTACTACATCCATATATGTAGACCAGTAGAGGTTCTTATTAACTGTGGTCAACAGTCATAAACACAGTATTTTGGATAATCCCTCTCATGTAACTAAGTAATCTTCACAATTACACTGTCCAAATCAGGGACACTCTGCCATAATTTTAATTTCCCTGACATCCAATTCTTAGAGTACACTTGATAATAGGTCCTTGTGTTCTCTTGGTGCCTGGCTGTCATTTACAAAATATCCTGCAGGTTCATTCAGCTATATTAGTGTGTAGACTCTTGAGAACATGATTACCCATTCAACACTAAAGAAGCACCTGGGGATTTATGTGCATTTCCTGACACATGAAATAGCAGCTCATAACCACCTATAAGGTCAGATGCACTGATTTGTAACCATTAAGTCTAAACTACCCATACAGATATACATACACATAATTGAAATAAAGTGTTTCTGTAATTTTTCCCCTTCCAGCTCTGGTACATATTCACATTTATGAGTTCTTAGGTGATATAGATGAGGCCTGGATACAAATGTTAATATTTCTTAGCCATATTCCTCATATTTTGAGTAATAAATACTGTTTTGTGATACTGGTAATCCCTGTTAAAGATTATTAACACGTTACTCCCTGTTAAAGTGCATCCATGAGATCAGCAGGGTTCTCAGACACCAGGGAACACAAAGTTAAGAGGTGATGTCCTCATAAACAGACATGTTCTTGTACCACATCCTCTGATTGGAAACCTTCTTCATGACCAACACACATAGGTAGAAAAGTTTTCATAAAACCAACATCTGTATCACCAGACAAATGGATATCTCCCAGGGCAGGGACTGTAGGATTCACCTTCATGTCCAGCTTCTAATCTGAGTGCTGTGGATAAAACTGAGACACTCATACTGGGATGCAGGCCCCATTCCACAAAGCCATCTCCTCCATCCTGAATTCTATCAGTACACAGTGTACACATTAATAAAAGTATTTTAACCTATAAAACAATACATTTTATACTCATATTAATACTAAAGTTTATTTAGTCAGATTCATTCCTACATAAATTATATTGGCTTCATTCCTTCATAAATTTTATTGGCTTTTGATACAAGCACATACATTACATGTCATTGTATATGAAATATTGTGTTTTCTAAGAGTTTACAACGAAGATATAACATATAAAGG